GCGTGTGCGTGTGTTCTTACAGGTATGTTGCCTCAGCCGTTCGTACGTCAGCAGGACGCGGTCTCGAGTTGTAACGCTAAACTCGTTACCGCCTTGTTTAATGACGGCACCGATCACTAGGCACCTGAGGTGAGCTTTGACGCTACAATCAAAGACATAGAACTGTGAACAGAAACGTGAGAATGTCATGAATGTAAACCCGCTGTCGGACATTACAAGCGAAAACATTTTTTAAACACCCCGTTTAACTACTCTCGGACTAGTGTTGAAAACCGCGCATACTTGGCGACAGAGGATTTAGAGGAAAGCAAGCATTTGTCACTCGTCTGCCTGTCTGTCGTCTGCCGCCCTGCGTCGACCCGGCCCCAACGAGAAACCCTGGTTCGAATCATGGTCGTTAAGATAGTCGTTAAGACTTGTTAAAACGGTCATTAAGGCTGCAGTTGTGAGTAGCGAATACGGTCGTTAAGACGATAAATACTGTCGTTAGGGTTGGTACTAACACTAATAATTACACTCGGTGAGACGGTCCTTAATACTAGCTTACAGTCGTTAAGACTAGTTAACCCAGTCATTAAGACGGTGGTTAAGACTAGTTTATGCAGTCATTGGGGCAGTCATAGGACTATGTAATACAGTCGTTAAGACGGTGGTTAAGGCTAGTTGATACAGTCATTAACACGGTGGTTAAGACTAGTTAATACAGTCATTGAAACGGCTGTTAAGGCAGTCGGTAAGACCAAGGCTAGAGTAGAAGAGGAATTTCCCTCTTGGCAGAAAACACACCGAGTAGTTATATTAGCCATGCTGTGCACAAGATGCCATGATATTCCGTAGTAGCAGCTTGTCATAAAATTGACTTTTAAGGGCTAACAATAAAGGTTAAAGGGATCGTTTACTCTAGGTTCTAGGGTTATTTTCAGTTAATTTAGGTAAAAATTACGCTACATAAAAAGTTTCATGGTTCAATCGCCATTATAAATATTATTAAAAAATGTTTTAAAACTAACGACTACAGTTTGATTACAACGACGGTGGCGCCACTCAAAGCGCACGATCTGATAAGTTGCGCAAAACCACTTTTCAGCCTAGGGCTACAGACCGAGGGTGTTTCTTATTTATTAATTTAAAAGCAAAAGGATTGTAGTATCTTATAAACGACATATAATTTCAGTTATAATATGGATAAATTTGCCCTAAAATGAATATCGTTTAGTTAAATAGGATTTAGGTATAAATATAATTGCACTTTTGTGATTAGCCCTCGGTCTGTAACGTGCAAAATAAATTGTTAAATACGCAACTTTTTCGGGGTGGGAGCACGGTCGCGGGTGTCATGGCGCCGTTCAAATTTTGTAGCGTTAATGTGTAAGTAATTATAACAATTAAATGAGGTACCTGGTAACAAATACGTGTGGGTATAGACGATTTGTTATACAGTAAGTACAGTTGTATGCAGTAAAATCCTAGAGTCTACTATCCCTTTAAGAGTTGCCTTTCTCACCGATGCGTTTACGAGTTGTGTTCACAGTAGATAGGGGCGTGAGCACTTAACTGCCATGTATTGCTTGTGTTTTTTGTAAAAATGAAATGTGTATGTATCCGATTCTAGTGAAAAGAAGTTGACAGTAGCCTCTTCCAGTGCAGAATACGTTTATCACCTGTATCATCACATACAACTATCATCATCATCACCGTCGTCATCATGCAGCCGTCGTGCATCTCTCACCATCGTTACCTATCATCATCACAACTGGTTGTTAGTCCATCACATTGTTCTCATCACCATCATCATCATCACTGTCATTGTCATCAGCATCATCAGCATCATCATCATCATCATCATCGTGATCATTATGTACTCTACCTGATCGCCACACTCACGCGCACAACTATCAGCAGTTGTGGTCGCGTGCTGGAGAGAGAAAACAGAATTCGTCACCCATTCTACGAGTGCGCTATTTTCTTCCGGCAGGATCCACCTGACGGCACACATGAGACGGTGCATGCGATTTATAGGGTACCCTTCCCCACTCACTTACTCCCTGTGTGATCAGCACTGACACTAGACCAATGTAGGATTGCCCCAGTGTTCCGCTATCTCTATAAGTTTTTTTATGTTGAGATGAGTTCCTAAACCTAGTGTATTATATTTTTAGTTGTGCGTTGCCTACTGCCACGCGGTCGACAGCGTTGTCGGTCGAGCGTCAACATAGTGTTCCCGCGATGAATGAAAGATAAAAATGTAAAACGTAATATAATATGATACGATTGGGTGTTATACATAGAGTGAGCTATTTTTGTATAAAACGCGTGTGTGCCGCAGAGACTCGCTTATCGTTTCTGGAAGGGTGGGTAAAGATTTATTGGGGGGTAGCGTCCACATCTCAGCAGCAGTACTGTGGGTCTATTGCTTAGTGCTATTGCTGCGCGAGGAGAGTAGACAGGGACATTGGGCTGGTTAAGGGGACGAAGGGGGAGGGGGGAGATATCGCACTAAAAGCGGTGTGAGACTTGTAAGGGGGAGCGGAGGAGGGCGGAGAATATCGCCACTAAAGCGTGTAGTCGTAGTTATAGTACGTGGCGTGCATGTATAGCTGCTGGTACGTAACCTAAGCAAGCTGTGTCCGGCCCTATTATTTTGAACAAATGAAACGATCATGACGCTCTTCTCATAGTGTTCATTGTGACGCTCGCCAGGTGCAGTGTCCGCTCAGTCCTGTTTGGTCGGCCCCGTGCGGTGTTTTCCTACGGCCGTGATGTAAAGTTCTTCTCTTGGGGACGGCGACGCCATGTGTTTTTAGCTAGGACGACGCGTCGACCTAGTGTCTCGCTGTGTGTCTCAGAGATTGATGGCACAGTTGCAGCGCCTGCATGCCTCGTGTCTCGAAGGCGTCCTGGGCCCTTCTCTCACAACAAACGCGCGCAGTTGTTTTGCGCCCCCTATCGCGCCCGCAATTTTTTATTTAGCTGTTTTTTTATGTTGATAGTGCAGAGCACAGTTTGAAACTTTGTATTTATTTTCTAATTATCACGAAGAGAAATGTACTATTTTTTAGTGGATATCGATCAATCAGGTTGTTGTCGCATCGGCGTGTGTAACACCAGCGCTGGCGTTCACCCACGGGCGTGTGTTGCTCGGGCAAAGGCAGCATATACTCTGTTCTCAGTTGTCGAAGCTATCGTGAATGCGATTTCATTCAGGCTTGTGTGGCGAATCCGTTGACGATATTTTGACGTGTGGCCATCGACGCCGCATCCGCGAACAGTCGAGTCCTAGGTTTCCGCGACATGTACGGTGGTATTGCATTCGAAGTTGTGCTGCCAGCCTGGCGGACAAAAGTCTGTAGCTCCGCTGGCATGATACGGGCGCGGATTCTCTCGTTAACATGTCACGCGGTACACGCTCACTGCGGTTTGATGAGACTGACCACCTGACTACTACTGTAAGTATGAAACTCGCCATTGGCTATAGTTACGAAACGGTGCCGCGGCCCTAGTCGCGCTCGCGTTATGAAGTATAAAATATTTACGGCATCGCCACGCGTGGCGTCGCGCGAAACGTACACGCAGTGGCCGAGTCGGCGAGATATCGTACTGCAGTGTATAATGTTACAAACAAACAACGACGTGCTGTTTGTGGTAATCATTGGCGAGTACACGTATTTTCGAATATTGTGTTTCTCCCCCCCCCCTCGTTGGGGTCTTGACATAGGGGGGGGGGGGGAGGGTCTACGAACAAATGTG